AAAGGCCCATGTGGTCGGCAATATGTGTGTATGATTCTGAAATGAGTTAAGGATATGTGAATTGTCGGCATGTTTGAGTATGACCATATTGTACTCTAATAAGAATGTGTTCTGATATGAATGTGATATGTGGCTCTACCAACGGATGTGCCTGATCCTTTTAAACGTTTTCACATAGAGTTAAAAGAATTAATATGATATTACTATATGTGGTTGGCCATCGCCTTGATATCTTTTGGTATAGGAAATAGAAGTACCTGCTATATAAACTGAGATTATATAACTCAGTTGCATTATTCTTACACTGCAGATGGTGAGGGGCGCTATCACACTTCCTCATGGAACTGGGAAGGTACGAAACCATATTCTTTGGATTTATTTTATTTTAATGGTGTATCCTATGGTTTTTTTTCTTTTCTTGGTAAAATGTACTTGATAGTTTTTTGTAACCATAGGAGCTTGTGAGAGATTATGAAATATATAGAGTTATAATCTTGAAGATACTCTGGAAACGTGTAACTTCTGAATTTTTTGATTGGCAGACTGTTAGAGTAGCTGTATTTGCAGATGGTGCAGCAGCAGATGAAGCCAGGGCAGCGGGTGCTGATGTAGTTGGTGCAGATGAACTGATTGAGGAAATTAAGAACGGTAAATGATCAGGATTCACTTCAAATGGGAGCCTTTAGCATGGTCATTCATGTTAGATGCTGGTTAGATCCTGATATAGAACTGCACAACTTCTGGTGCTTGGATCCAACGAACTATTTTTGTGCATTAAGGACAGATAAGTTTAACATTTTTATAACCAGAGGGAAGGAGGGAATTATCAGGGAAAAGAAAAAAAAAAAAGGGATAGGATTATTAGGGAAAAAAAGAAAAACTGAGAGAGGGAGAGAGAAATTTCTTTTTTGAGAGGGAGAGAGAGGAATATCACAGTGCGCAATTCTACTTTGTTAAGAAATGCCACCCGAAGGAATTTCAATGCGTTTTATCTGCACTGTGTAACTAGACTTATACTTTAAATATTGATGTTAAACATAAGAAGACAATTTTTCAGTTCTTTGAGAAAAGGAAAAAGGGTACTTCCAATTCGAGAGATAACTTGTCGATTGTATAAAGTACTACCTGTTCTGCTTTTGTTATTGTCTTTCTTGCAAGCATTACATAAATGAAATTTCAAAACTAAAATAGGCTCTAGAAAGACCTGTCTTAATAAAACCCCAAAATGAGTTTATCTTCTTTGCGCTAATATGCAAACATCTCCTTGTTATAATCTCACTGGAAATCAAAATTTTGCAGGCGGGGGCAAGCTAAATTTTGATAAGTGCATTGCAACTCCTAGTTTTATGCCCCGACTTGGAAAGGTATAGCTTATCCGTCTTGTTACTTGTCATGTTGAGGCTTGTGGTATACATTTTAGCACATTTTTTGCCATAATTTTATGTTTTCTTCTATCAGATAGCAAGAATTCTCGGTCCTCGTGGAATGATGCCCAATCCCAAGGTGAGTTCTCTCTCATTTGGTTTATGCATGAGACAAACATATAACTAGTTCCCAAATAATATTTTTGTTTTACTGTAGCTAGGATCTGTGACTAGCGATGTTGCTACGGCAGTACAAGCAGCAAAACGTGGTCGTGTTGATTTTAAAATAGACAAAACTGCTATTGTGCATGCAGGCCTTGGGAAGGTACGGGTTTTACCATGTGTTTGAAATAACTAATGGACATGGCATTCCTCTTTCAGAAATTCACCCCAATGACATACATCTCAGCGCAAACCTTTGGAAACAAACATCATAACTTTTTCTTCTACTCTATGGTTTACATTTCTCTTATCTTTTCCACTATTTAAAGTGCTGTATCTCTGATGGGGATGAATAATATCATTCTCTGAATTTATTAAGGTATGAGTATTATTAACCTCTGACCTGAAGAGACAAATAGGAGTGCCTGACTGCTAGCTGGTTGTGTTGTGAATATGGCATGAATCAGGGATCATTACGATTGTTAGGTTCTCAATGAAGATAAGAGTAAGGTATCCTTTCTTAAAGTCTTCCATATTCCAAATTTGTCGGAAATACTGATCAGTGATGGGAAACTATTTTGCTGTCATGAAAGTGTTGTATTTTAGAAGCCACATTCATGGGAGGATAGTGAGTTAGATTATTTGGAGCTGCAAAGGAAATGATAATATGCTATGCTTTTTCTTCTATTGAAAATGGTAGAGTGCCTTTTTAAATTATCTTTGCTTTCATCTTAGGAAATATATGATGCCAACATTAGCTTGGTTGCTGGAGATGTAAATGGATGTAAGTGAATGTGTCGCCAAAGATTAGTCAAAAGAGGTACTACCATTTTGCATGTCAAGAAATTGGTGTATGTTTGGAAATAGAATTATATTTCAAGGTCTGAAATATATCAGGATTGTTTTGAGAGAAATGGTGTAACACTAAAGAAACTAGGCAATTGGTCTATGGATGAATTTGAGTCAGATTTTCTAAATCTTGATTAGGACAGAGCAGGCAAGATCAACTTTTAAAGTTGTAAGTATGATCCCAGGAAGAATATTGAGGAAACGCATCAAAACATGACGAATTTCTGGCTATGATAATGAAACCATCAATCTGGATTGTTTTGGTCAAAGACATATTGAAACACTTTTTTAATATTGAAGCATTTGGCTGGTGCTGTTGCGGAAGATACTCCTGGAAGATTCCACAAGAAAGGATACACTGCATCGCCAGACTATTACTCTCAATAAGTAATGTGTGAACTGCTGATGGATATTCTGAAGAACTTTCGTCAATTTATGGATAGTAGGGAGAAAATGCAGTTCTTCTCAACAACTCATGCCTCTGAAGAAATTTTTCCAAATTCTTTCTCTCTCTCTCTCTCTCATATGCCCAAACAAGTGCACCTAGCCCCTCATATGCAAGCACTATTGTATTCTGATTTTGTATGGCCGATGGATGGCTGGTTTCTGAAGCAATTAAGGTAAGGTTTACTTCCGTATTTACTATAGCACAGAACCAGGAGACCGTGGCCAGGTGGTTAAGCGGGGACAGCTAGGGATGCAATATGGAATGTAAAGTTGCTTGGGGAATTAGAGGAAGAGGAGACCGGAGACTTTGCAGGGCTTATTGCTGAACTTCATAAATTCTTTTACTCACCAAGAAAGGAGGATTGGTGATTTGAGATTTCCAATGCCCATGGTAAGTTCTCAGCAAAGTCATTTTACAATATTTTATCTTATGAGCCTAGGGACCAACTTACAACTAGCAGTGTAGCATACTCATGGGCCCCCTAGGTGCAGAGTTGTGGTGGTTGACTTACCCTATAAAGTGTTTACCATGGTCCATGGATCATGTAAACAAGACGGGTTTGGTCATTCCAAACAGAATATTGAAGGTTCTCATGAGCCAATGGTTATTCTCCCCCCCTCTTTACCCCAACAAGGTTTAAAACTATGGAGCAGTGCCATGGCAGCCATCGTATGGTTTTTTTGGCTTGGAAGGAACAGTCAAGACTTTTAGTCAGTCTATCACAGACTGGATTGGGTCTTGGACTGGATAAAGTCAAATCATCTCTTTGGTGAGGACTACAAGAGAGTTCTGGGGTTTCTCATAGTGGATTCTGAGTCTCAGCGAACTTTAATAGCCAAAGGCAGTTGTCCTCAAACGACTACAGGTGATCTGGGTGCCTCCAACCAAAGAATTTGTGATATTAAATTCTGATGGGAGTTTTTTTGTTTTTGGGGGGACCATAATTGTTGGAAATGCCTAGGAACCCGAATCATTTCAGGAATTGGAATCGTGGCCGCCTTGAAGATCACTGTTTTAGGAATCGACGTATGTGCAATGGGAATCGTGGGGAATGAGATTCCTAATTTCCTGGAATCGTGTCTCGACTTTGAGATTCTGACTTCCTTGGAAGGGAGATTCCCATCCCCTTGGAATCGACACTCTAGGAGTCGAGATTCATTGATATGTAGAATCGAGATTCCGAAATCTAAATAGGGTTCTTTTCAACCTTTTCCTCACGGTACTTGTACGCTATCGGTCATTGAGGAAGGCTTAGGCTTAGAGGGTGGTCCCTCGTTCTTGCGTAAAAGTGATCATAATTCGAACACGCCGCTTTTTAATGGGAAGGATCGAACTATCGGAACGAATCTACAGGGCTATCAAGCGAATGGAGTTTCTGACATATGTGGAGCATAGATATTTTGCAGTTTAGAATAGTGATTCCAACATATTTGGAATCAAGTTTCTGATGTATATGGATTGGAGATCCATACCAGTTTGATTTCGAGAATTACAATAGTATGGAATGCATTTGATCCCTACCAGAAATCGGGATTTTATTTATATAGAGTAGGAAGCCCCATACACATCTTGAGCCTAATCTACTTTATAACCTATATGTCAGATGTCTTTTATTAGAAGGGTTCCCAAATTTTAAAGTGATTGTGTTGACTATTGAACTTAGGGTCAAATAATCTACTAGGAAAATTATATACAAATGATATGTATCTCTAAATTGTGATTTTGACTTCATTATTATAAAGATAAAATATGATTATGTCTACACTATGATTTTATTTGTATGTGTTGTAATTACCAGTTATATTTTAAAGTAAAGGTCATCCAGGGTAGCACAACTAAAAATATGAAACCCTGCTACCATTTAAAGCATTCAAAGGAAGATTACTACTCCAATTTCAAGTGCACAACCATCATAGACATTAGACATTATGTACTTTGAATTGCTTTTTTTTTTTTGTTACATCTATTATATTTTATTTGTCTAGTTAAATTTTTTCCTCACATTCACGTTATACCTTAATAGTAGAGGAGAAATTAAGTCTGAACTCTGAACATCAAGCTCACATATGAATACATATTGCATGAAATAGAAAGCAACACATGTAGATAAAGAGAGATTCTGACATCAAATGGTAGCTGGAATTTATATATTGTGTGATAGAAAAAAATAAAAAAATACAAACTTTATATATAGCTTTCAGTAGATGATGATGGGAACATTTTTGGGGATCGAGGGGTTGGAGGCAGGGGGTGGAGAGAGAGAGAGAGAGAGAGAGAGAGAGAGAGAGAGAGAAGAAGAAGAAGAAGAGAGAGAGAGAGAGAGGAGGAGGAGGAGGAGGTACGTACGTCGTACGTTCGTTCGTTCGTTCGTTCGTTCGTCGTCGTCGTCGTACGTACGTCG